AGGAAGGAAGGAAGGAAGGAAGGAAGGAAGGAAGGAAGGAAGGAAGGAAGGAAGGAAGGAAGGAAGGAAGGAGATAGAGGGTTAGGGTTATATACAAATATATCTGCCACAACAAGGGGCTGATATGTATAGATATCTACAAATAAAGGCATGCCTAGCATAGATTTAATGGCACATGGAATCCTTGACACTTCACTACAACAGTTCTTTCCCTATTACCAGAGAAATTACTGTGATTTAGTAAACTGACTCTCTGTCCTGATGATACATGCAAGTTTAGCCTAGCACCTCCAATTTTACTTTTCTTCTGCTTCATTCCTTATAGAACAAGAGTTAGAAAGTAAAATATTAATTATCTTACTTCCCAATAACACATTTAATTTTCAAATATTTATTTGACTTCTCATAATTAGGTAATAACCCAAAGGTTGAAGAATCTGGGTTTTTCTCAGAGCGTTTATGTCTTTACCCCCGGCCCCCCACAATTAAGTATCCTCCTCCTGCTTGATCTCTGTTGATATGTTATAAAACCAATAAAATAAACAAGGGTGTTCCTTCCATAATTTGCTTTGCCTTCATCAATATTTTGGTCCTTTACTCTGTGAAGCTTACAAAGAAATAAAAGAAATAAAGTTACTGACAGAATTTGGAAGATTCTCCAAATTTCTGCTTATTAAATTAAGATTTGAATCCAAGCCCTGGAAATTCCTGAATCCCAAAAAACAGTTTATCTTAATATTTTGCTAATAAAAGTTGAACCTATTGCCTTTTTACGTACCTAATTCCCCCATCTTATCAATAACAGCAACAACAATAATAATAGGAAGAAGAAATGAGAATAACAAAACATTATCAAACTCTTGACCACCTAACCAGTGGCTGTAGCAAAATTGTGCATCCAGATAAGAAAAAATACAACTGCATGATAAAAATGATGCTGGGATTTATGCAAAAAGAATGGATTTGAACCCCCAAAATATGTATTGGTATGTTCATAATGTCGAAAAAGTGCCCCAGCACGACCACATGAAAACTTATGGGATTTCTGAATTCAGGCAGACTGACATTTAGAACACAACGTGTTGAAGTGGTTGTAGAAAAGCAAGTTTCATTTAGAGATGTGGCAATACCAACTAACTGGAAAAGACTGGAAAATATCAGGCCTCCACAAGTGAAATACAGAGATTATGAAATAAACAGGCAAAGGTTTGTCCCATCATTACTGGAGGGTTAGAAGCCATAACAATGCAATTGTCAGAATAGCTGAAAAATTAGTTTTGACCTCAAAGCATTTCGTTTACAGAAAACAACTTTGCTTGGAAACAGATACATATTTCAGGCAGTATTTGGACAATTCTAAAGCTTGAACTGATCCTCAATTACCAGCATTTGCTGAGTATTCTTCAGAAGAGACTATATAAAAACCACAACGATGATGATAATAATACTAGGAGGGCAGGACTTACCATATATCCTGGTGCACAGGTGCACTTTCCCGTGATGCTGTCACAATCTGCTCCATTTTGACAGTGGCAAACAAGGTGACAACTTTCCCCGTAGAACCCCGGAGCGCACGTTTCGTTGCAATAGAGCCCTGCCCAACCAGCTTTACAGTTGCATTCACCAGACAGAGGATGGCAACTGTCAAAAAAGAGATCCGGTATTAATCAACCACCCCAGTAGGAAGAAAAGCAGCCCCAGGTCCTTGGAAGCCAACATCCAACCCGGTTAAATGTCGCACAACGTTTACAAACATTCCAGCCAAAGCAGAGGCGATTTGTCAGAAGTAAGAAGGGGCGACGTTTCTACATGGCACCAAAAGGTCACTTTGGTAGGGGGAAAAAATTAACCAGGAGCTGGGAGTGAGACAGGCTTGGTATTGTTGGAAAAAGAAGGAAGGAAATCACCATGCGGAGAGGATAGGAAGGGCAATGAAGAGAAATATGCAAAGAACCCAGAATCATGTTAAAAGAAGTGGGTCCAGGAAGCCAGGGAGTGGGAAAAGTTCAGGAGGAAAGGGCAATGGGATCCTGGTTATCTGTCCATCAATGCTCGGGATAGGATGGCTGGGTTAAGCACAAGGAGCCCTCATCTCTGTGTGGGCTGCCCCACATCATAAGTCCCCAGAACTGCAGCTCATTGCTCTGGACAGAGAAGGCTTCCCCTACTCTGGATGAGCAACATCTGGCAAGATTGTCTTTGGACTATCTTGCGTCTCCAAGGTTGTGGTTTGGAGTAGCAATGATTTTTATGACTGGCATGATTTGAAAGGGTTGCGGGGGGTTAACAAGGTCTTTTGGGGCCACTTGTAGTCTCAGGGATGTCTGCATGTAAAAAAAGGAGCAGGGCTTTGATTGTGCTGTTGTGGTCACCATCTTGACACTACTGACCCTCTCTGTGTGCATCTCTGTTTGGCCTCTACAGTTTTGCCTGTAATATTTTTTGCGAGCATCTTCTGTACACCCCAAGCAAAGGTTGCTCCTAGTCATACTCAAGGAGTTACCTTGGAAGGAGCTACTTTGAAAATGCAACCCAGAATTACAAAGTATGTGTCCTCAAGAAAACTTCTACTCAACTGGCATGGTTTCTACCCCCATCTCCCTACTTTACTATCAGCGGAAGAGATTAGCGCATAATGTTGTGCCTAAAATTTACCAAGTTCTGTAGCTGTCTTATGCTTCTTCAGAGTAACTAATTAAAACAATTAATCAGCTTAATAAAAAATAAGAAAGGTTTCCAACTGACATGCTCCTTGAAATTATACGATTCTCGGTTCACACCTCTTAACATTTAGATGAAAACTCATAAAAACAGCTACTGCTTCCACCCACCTCCGCTTCTATTAACCTCCATGGAATGAGAACAGAAAATGAAGCAGCAAAGAAATCATTTAGTTTCCCTCATTTTGTGTTTTTCCTTGTGGCACACACAACTGTACATTTTCAACCAACTTGGCATTGGATAGCTAAATTAAATATTTCAAAAGTAATATATGTTCCTTGCAGTCAGAATCAGTATATTACAATTCAACCCAAAAACACTTCACCTGGTAAGCATTTCTCCTGCAAGGTGGGGTCTTTCATCAAAATATAAAAGGTTGGGCCTTTTAAAAACGAATTACCAACATGAAAAATGGATATTTTATGAATGGCACAAAGTTTATTCCCCTAAATAACAACCGTGCAAGTGACAAACAGCAAGGGAGACAGATTAACCGCCAACTACTGCATTCAGAAAAAGCCAAGGGGGCCTCTTTACTCTCTGTCTCTCTCTCTGTCTCCCTGTTTCTTATTCTCCTCTGTGCAAATTTCACTTGTACACTTCCACTTGTGATTTCACACACTATTGACTCAAAACAAGTTGTGCCTCCCTTGCCTCCATTCTTCTTTTTAGTTCAGCACCAGCAAAGGGTCCACTGTTGGTACAAGGTTGGCTCTGAGGGTCTAAGACTGAAGACCCTAGCTTGTGATCAGATCATACAAGAATCTGATCCAACTTTGGGAACTGGTGTTATGTTCCTTGCCTACGAGAATGATGCTATGCTGACAGGAAGATGTCTTTTGAGAAGGTCATCTGCTCCTCAGCCTTTGGTGCCCCCTTGTCTTGAAACTTAACCAATTCAAGCAGAGTTCTTGGAAAGTTAAAACCTGAAATACCAACAACAATGCACGAAAGTACATCTATGGATCTATGCCTGCCACTCTCTCTTCTGTTCCCCCGGAACCAAGATAAGCCTGAACAGAATGACAGATTTTATCAGTTGAGTGACTAGACTCATTTATTAAGAGGTGCAGATACCATCTGGAGACAAGAATGTTTCAAGGCAAGAAAGCAGGTACAAACAGATAGAAAGGTAAAAAGAAACCAGCCACGAATAGCAAGCTGACTGGATCAGAAGCATACAATGCAAATATCATACTGGAAGAATAAATGTTAAGAAGGACATTTATTGCTATCAAATTTGAAAGTCCTACCTAACTGTGGTAACCTGCCTTCACTTAGAATGCATCCAAACTGCAGATTTCCTTAATGAATGCAACAATTCATGGGGTGGGGGTAAGGAACTCTTTATCCCTAAGTCCAAAGGCAGACTGTCAAAGAAGTCATGTCTGCCTAAAACCTCTGGAAAGGAGCCCCATCAAAAAGGGCCAGAGGTTCAGGAGAACCCATGTGTCTCTGACACTGGACATTTCAAAATCATCCCCAGGATTCCTGCAGCGGAAGGACTGATGAACGCACGCAGAAGCCCAGACGCAGACGCAGTACATGCCTGAAGCACAGGCTGCTCCGTCCATGACCTCCATGAGAAGGAAACCAGATGTTTTACATCATTAAAGCAGAAATCTGAGGACCCTTCAGGAAGAGGCAAGGTAGCCAACCGTGGTGGCCCAGCCGTTGCCAGAGCAACCCAAGGATCCTGCTGTTTTCTTTGCAAAGGCTTTGCAGAACAGATCCCCTGCTTTTGGGAGAATCTTGGTCCTTGAGTCAGTGAACTTGCTGTTAAGGCAGAACATCCAGCAGCAAAAGACTGGGAGCAAGAAGCTGAACGTTAAAAGGCTTTGCATTTTTAAACGAAAGGTGTAATTCTTGGGATTAAAATGTCTTTAAGGAAATCAGCACTGTGTAAGCGCTTTCAGCGGGATGGAAAAATGTCCGTTCACCTTTTGTATTATCCAGCTGTACATAATATATACTATATTCAGGCGATTCTTTTCATTACGGTGTAGCACTGAAAGATGGTTCACTGTACCGTAGAGGAAGGATATATAATTGTCCAGGCGTCAGATTCAGATTTCATTGTAGGTCCGTACTGAAATGAGCAGTTGTTACAGGACTCTTTTGGCTACTTAGCCAAATGATAGAGCTGACACAGAACCCTGATGATAAGAACGTCTAGTCTAGCCAAAGCAGCTGACTGGAATGCTAATGCTTCTAACTTTCTCTTCCATGTTTGGTGATGGTGTGAAAATGACAGGACTGCCCGGTTGTGCCTCATTGCAAGTACATTGCATTAGGCTAAAGCAGTGTTTCTCAAGCTGGCCAACTTGAAGATGCAACATGCTGGCTGGGGAATTCTGGGAGTCGAAGTCCACACATCTTCACGTTGACCAGCTTGAGAAACACTGGGCTAGAGGCTATAAAGGATTCTATGCATAGGCATTTGCATGGGATCAAGGTTCCCGTAGGGGAGGGTAAAAGAGCCACCTCCCATCTTTAATGTAGAGGATTTTATAGGCTGGTTTCTAGGCCCAATTCAAGATACTTGTTAGTGTATAAAGCCTTACACATCACAAGCAATTACCTGCTGAAGTGCCTATTCCAGTAGCGTCTGCTGTTCCTACTTGCTTAGATCTTCAACAAGACGTATTTTGCAGGTCCCACCATGAATACATTCAACACTGATAGATAACATTCTGCTTTTTCCCTGGCAGGAACTCTATAATAAAACAATTTTCCAACTGAAGTTGAGGTTAGCCTGCTCTTTGTTACAGATTGGGCTTAAGATCTTTTTATCCAAGCTTTTTAAGTTGAGAGGGCTTCTTTAAACGGTTCGTTTGAATCATTTTAATTGTTATATCAGATTTTAACTTGAATATTAATTGTCTTGGAGGTCCTGAGCTACAAAATGAGAGTGGGCAGTAGGTACCTTTTCTACATATATGAATACGATGAGAACCTAAACACCAGTGAGAATCTAAGCATCAGCTTTATCAGGTGGAGCTGCATTAAATATATACAAAGATTCATGCTCCTAAAAATAAAGTTGAGATTACTAAGATAAGCAGTTCATATCATCAGGATGTTTGACAGAAGTTGGCCCCCTTCCAAATGAAAGGATGTCTGTCAAACAGTCATCAGACTTCTCCAACATAAAGTTAACATGCATCAATGCAAAAACTGAGAGGGAGAAATGTGTCATTCAAGATCTGGGGTTACTTTTCTATTTATAAAATCTGCAGATAGCTGACTTTAGCAAAAGAGGTGGATTTTATTTGATTTTTGGAGTGGAAGGCATGTAGCTAAGGCACCAATCATCTCATTTTCTCACAGAGAAATTCAGCTCTGTAACATTTATCTTTGAGAGAAGGAGGTTAACTTCAAACAAAGTTTGAACGATCTCTGTTAAAACATCTACTTTGCTGTTTGTCTCCTGGCTGAATTGGGTCACTTTGGGATGTAGCTTATGGCATTGCAGAAAAGGTCAGATAAATTATAAATGCTTTGTTTGAATTGGGGTTGAGAGAGTTGAGCGCCTCTGAGATAACTGAATATTGCAGAAATGGAAAGGAGGCGCAACACGAGTGATCACTTGCAGAAGATCAGAAAAGAGTTCGTGAACTTTTATGAGGGTACAAAACTGTCTTGCACAGAGTAAAAAAAAAACAAAGCTCCGTTCAGCTCAGACACCCATCAGCTTGACAATGCCAGTCTGCTGAAATCCACCTCTACACGCTGACTAGTGGTGCATCAATTCAGTGTGGATCATCTGACATGGGGGGAAAAAATCAAGATGAAACCAAGGACCAGAATAAAAAACCACATAATGAACGGATTTGCGCTTAAGCTTTCTCAGCCAGAGAGGAGAATGGCAGGGAAGGAAGGAAGGAAGGAAGGAAGGAAGGAAGGAAGGAAGGAAGGAAGGAAGG